TACTGGCTTCAGGAGTGAAATGACATAATTCAAAACTAACGATGATTGAGGAGGGAGATCCTAGAAAGGATGGGGCTGCAGAGTGAACTTCCACGTATGTGAACCTCTCATAAGCTGGGCCTGGGCAAGCAGGGAGACTCCAAGAGGTTCAGGAAAGTGTAAAAGCTAAAACACTAAAAAGACATGAGTTGAGATTTTATCTGCTTCCCATTGTAAGGGGAAGAGTTTGAAATTTGAGTTCCTCCAAGTCAAAAAGACTTAACATTTGGGATTTCCACTGAAACTCCAGATTGGCTACACTTTTTGAGTAAGCACTGTCCTAAGACTATGGAATCTGCCCTGGGACTAAAGTGAAAAAAGTGAAAGACTAAGGGACTAAGGGGAAAAAGTGAAACAGTCCAAGCCTTTAAATCCTCTACAATTTAAAGAGGATCAGCAAGCAACATAACTACCTGTCAGAAATACAGAATTTATAAATATAGAATACAGGAGGAAACCCATATAATCATCTCAATTAAGAAAAAGCATTTGTCAAAATGTAACAGTCCCTCTTAATTAAAAAAACAAAAACAAAAAACTGGAAAGAAACGTCCTTAATTGTGATAAAGGGAACCTATGAAATACATACAGCTAGCATCATACCTACTGATGAAAAACTAGTTCCTTTCTCTTAAGATTGAATATGAGATAAGAATAGGCCTCTGCCCTAAAGGCCTCAGGATTCAGTAAGGCATGAAAAACAAACAAAAATCATAAATATTAGGAATGAAAAAGATAATTATCTTTATTCATAGACAATGTGATTGTTTATATATAAAATCATAAGGTATCTACAAAAAATATCCTACTAGAATTAGTAAATTAATTTAATAAGGTACAAAACCAATATATAAAATGCAATTTTTATATGCTAGGAACAAACAACTTAAAAATAAAATTGTTAAATACCATTCATACTAGCATCAAAAAGCTTACAACAGTTAGGAATAAATTTTTAAAATATATGCAAGAACTCTACTGAAAATTATATAATATTGGTAATACTGATGGAATTGTTGAGTGACATTAAAGACCACTAGTAAACAAAGGGATATACCATGTTTATGGATATGAAGAAGCTTATACTTATTAAGATAACAGTTCTGCTCAAACTAATCTATAGATTCAATACAATTTCAATTTTGTGTGAGAATATACAAGCTGACTCTAAAACTGCCATCAAAACTTAAAATAGTGAGTATAGCTAAAATAATCAAAAAACAAATTAGGGCAAAGTTGGAGGACTCATACAATTTAACCTTAAGACTTCATGCAAAGAAATAGTAAGGAAGAATGTGGTACTGGTATAAGGATGGACAAATAAATAAATATACCCAAACAGATAACACAGAAGTAGACCCATATGTGTGTTTAGTTGATTTTCAACAAGGGTTCCAAGGTTATTCCATGCAAAATAATAATAATAATAAAGTCTTTCAACAAATGATGCTACAACAACTAGATTAGCATATAGAAAAAAATTTCAAATCCTCTGTTATATCACACAAAAATATTAATTTCAGGGTCATACAGACAAAAGATAAAAGCTAAAAAAAACTATAAGGTGAATATCTCTGTGACCCTATGATATACTTCATAGAGAGGACTCAAAATATACAAATGATGAAAGAAGAGATTAAATTGAACTTCATGGAAATTCATGAAAATTTAAAACTTCTCCTCAAACACACCACTAAGAAAATTAAAAAGCAAGCCACATACTCATCAGACAGGTTTCTCACAAAAGACTCATATCCAGAACACTTAAATAACCCCCACAAATCAATAATAAAATGACAAATTCAACTTTTAAAAAATACAACAAAAAAATTAGCACTTATAAACATATACAAATGACCAAAAAGCACATGAGAAAGTGTCCACTGTAATTTGCAAATGAAATGCAAATTAAAACCCAAAACACCATTTTATGCATATTAGAATGTCAAAAACTAAAAAGAATGATCACATCAAGTTTTGGTGAGGATATGGAGCACCTAGAACTCTCACACAATGCTACCAAGAGTATAATATCACAATTACTTCCAAAATCCATTTGTGAGTTTCATATAAAGTTCAATATATACCTGTTCTAATACCCAGCAATTTCACTCCTAGTTATGTACTTTAGAGAAATGAAAGTGTATGTTCACAAAAATGTACACATACAATGTATATACAGAAGCATAATTCATCACAGACAACAAAAGGGTAAATTCCAAAAGTTTACCAAAAGGAGAAAGAAAATAAATGGATGCTAATTTATAAAATGAAATTTTATAGAATTTTTTAAAATATTGATATGCACAATGATATGAATGAATCACAAAGAAATGATGATGAGTGAAAGAAACCAGACATAAAATGGAGCATGTGTTATAATTTCATTTGTATGAACTTCTAGAATAGGTAAAATTAATTTGTGGTACAAGAAAGCATTATACTTTCCAGGTGTGGCAGCACACACCTGCTTAGGGAGACCCTGTCTCAGAACCTCTGGGTTCAATTCCCAGTATCAAGAAAAAAGAAAAGAAAAAAATTATACTTATTGCTTTGGGCAGCAAGAGTGACTGATAAAGGGTATAGGGAATTCTTAGTAACAGAAATGTTCTGTATCTTGAATTGTGGAGCTGGTACCCAGTTGTGAGCATTTGTCAAAATTCAAGTTATTCACTTCTGATTTTTCATTTCATGACAGACAAATTTATCTCAATTTAAAAAACTGCTTTTAGTGGTGAGAAGAGGAAGGAACATTTAGTAGCAGGGGATGAGGTATGGAATTCCTTAGAGGATAAGAATAAAATAGGATTATATGCTGAGCGAGAAGAGCAACATTGGAGGCATCACAAAACCTGATCTCAAATTATACTGCAGAGCTGTAGTAACAATATCAGCATGGTATTGTCATCAAAACAGACAAGAAGGCCAATGGAATAGAATAAAAGAACAGAGACAACTCAAATAGTTACTGTTAACTGATACTCAACAAAGATGCCAAAAATACATATTGGAGATTTTTAACAATGGTGCTTGAAAAACTGGATGTCCATATGCAGAACCATGAAACTGGATCCCTATCTTTCATTCTGCACAACAGTCAAATCAAAGTGGATCAAAAATCTAGGAATTAGACCAGAAATTTGGCAACTGCTAGAAGAAAACAGGAGCAAGGGGCTGGGGTTATAGCTAAGCGGTAGAGCGCTTGCCTTGCATGTGTGAGGCACTGGGTTCGATCCTCAGCAACATAAAAATAAATAAATGAAGTAAAGAATGAATATATATATATCACACACAAAAACAGGATCAACACTCCAGCATACTGACATAGGCACTGACTTCCTTAACTAGACCCCTAAAGCCCAAGAAATAAAACCAAGAATCGATAAGTGGAAGAGCATTAAATTAAAAGCTCCCACACAGCAATGGAAACAATTAAGAACATGAAGAAAGAGCCCACAGTATGGGAGAAAATCTTTCCAGCTACAAAATTGATGGGGGATTAATATCCAAAATATAAAAAGAACTCAAAAACTTTAATGCTAAACACACCACACACACACACACACACACACACCAATCAATAAATAGGCAAAAGAACTAAATATACATTTTTCAAAAGAAGAAATGCAAATGGCCAACCAATATATACAAAAAAGTTCAACATTCCTAGCAATCAGGGAAGTGCAAATCAAATCTACATTGATATTTCATTTCTCTGCAGTTAGAATGGCAGTCATCAAGAATGAAAATATAATAAATGCTGGTAAGGATGTAAGGAAAAAGTACATTCATATATTGTTGGTAGGAGTACAAATAAGTACAACCACTTTGAAAAATAGTATGAAAATTGTCCAGAAGGCTAGGAATAGAACTACTATATGACTCAGCTATTCCAGTGTTTGGTATTTATCCAAAATAACTAAAATCAATATACTATAGTGATACAGGTACATCAATATTTATAACAGCTCAATTCACAAAAGTCAAACTGTGGAACCAGCCCAGGTGCCTGTCAACAGAAGAATGGATAAAGAAAATATGGTATATACACAATGGAGTTTTACTTAGCCATAAAGAAGAACAAAATTATGGCATCTGCTGGTAAATGGATGAAACTGGAGAACATAATATTAAGTAAAATAAACCAGACTAAACAAATCAAGGATTGGATTGTTTGGTCTCACATGAAGCAGGTGCAAAGTAAGGAGGGAAAAGGTGGGGAGAGATCTTGTGAAATAGAGGGGAGATGTGAAGAAGAGGAAGCATTCTGGGAAAGGAGGAGGGAAAGAGAAAGTGAGGAACTTTGGTATGAAATTGACCAGATTATGCTACGTACATATACCAACATAGCTCAGTGAGTTCCATCTTTATGCATATCTATAAATCACCAATTTTTTAAAATAATAATAATAAAAAGAAGGAAGACCAGTAGAGTAGAGCAAGGAGAACAGGGAGAGGTAGAAGGGGAGAGAAAGAAGAAGCATTTGGAGAATGAAATGGAGAAAATTATATTCCATACATGTATGATTATGTCGAAATGGACCTACTATTATGGGTACCTATAATGCACTAATAAGAACATGTTTACATTTCTTTCATACACATTCACAGGCAAACTAAAAGGTTGACACAAAACCAAAAATTCAAATTAGAGTTGAATAGGCATGAATCAAAAGAGGCAGTAAAACAATACTTAGCTAAGATGATGAGAAATAAAAACATAAACTTAGTGAGTATGTTAAACAAAACACAAGATTGCCATATTTAGCAAATGCCTTAATCCAGAAATCCAAACCAACAGAGTGTTGGACAACAAAGTCCAGCAGCCCAACTTAAGATGCTGCTATTTTTTAAAGTGTATTTTATAAAATGTCCCTTTAATAATTTCCATGATAAAAATTCCTACTCAGTATGAACTAAAATTACACAGATACCAGAAACCACGCAAAACGTATTCTTACCTTCAGTGAAACTTCCTGTGAGGGTTATTACCACAAATACTTTCCCCTCAGGCTCCAGATCCACCTAGAAAGAGAGAAAAAAATCCCATGAGTTATATTTTAATGTTAAAGTAATTTTTGAAAGCCTTAAATATTCTTTAAGGAAAGGTCTAAATGTATATATTATAACCATAAATAAAATCTAAATCTTTCATTAAATAGTCAAAGAACAAGGAAACCAGTAAAAACTCAAGTTATAAAGGTTGAAGAACAAATCTAAAACAAAACCTATGTTTTCTCAGAGCTTCCTTTCTCATGAATTTTATTATCTTCCATGTGTGGCTCTTTGTGATATAGAGAAGCACTCACCTTGGAAATCCTTTCAAGACATCTATAGTCCATGCTCACCTCTAGTAAGAGCAGCATTTTATTAAACGAGGTGGCAAATATATGAAATAGAGAAATAATTACAACATACAAGGTAAGGAACAAATGTGACAACAGCAAATCTTCAATTTTACAGAGTAAAAAAGTTTAAAGAGTCTGTTTCCATCAAATTCTAGTCAATCTTAAGGAAGCACAAGGGAAGGAGGTTCGGGAGCTTTTCATTTGCTTTCTTGGCTGGCTCATGGGAGTATCAACATCCCTTGAAGTTATTCGTTAGTTGAGATTTCAAGCCATGGATTCTGTAATCCAGACAGGCTGAAGCCTCCCCTGGTCCCATCCTCTATGCGTACTCCCATTACCCAGCATGGTGCCCAGGAAGAACAGTGCCCTGCAGATCTGCTCTGATTCCCATGTACCCAGGCCAGAAGGCTCTGCCCCCTTCCCACTGGATGCTAACCTCACTATCCACAAACACTTCAAAGCCATACAGTGTGAGTTGCTTGTGGGATCAAATACATACATTTACCCTAAAATAAATCTTAGATTCAACCCACAGCTCCATTTCTAACTTTGACCTTCCATATGAAAGAAAATGGTCAAAAGAAGCTGAGTGTGGACATGGGTGGTCATTTGGGGCATGTCAGTAAATTTAAATAAGCTGTAAATCACATGGTAGAGTAGAAAGCACCTGTACCAGACCAGCCCGTGGCCTCCAGGGTGACTCGGCCACAGCTGGATGAGATCCTTCACCACCCCTGGACTCCCTGTTCTCTGAGTGTCTGTGGTGCCATTATTCAGCATTTCTTTTTTATTATTATTAGTTCTAAATCAGTTAATTATACTTGTCAGTAGAAAGCTCTTTCATTCCATTCAGCATTTCTGATTTGACATCTATCACATAATCCTGAAGAATCTTAACAGTACAGATTACAGTTTTTATTGTACCCACAGGCAAACACAGACATTCCCAAGGCATTTTCTTGACTCTAGGTCACCACCACATATTTTTTAATTCTAATACCACACCCCAATTATATACTTCTTAAAGTAAAAGATGACTGTTTTGTACGGGCTTGGAAATATTCACCTCTGTACTATAAGTCTGTGCTTACCAATCTAACTTTCTTTGCATGAAATCTGTTCCCAGGAAGGTTACCACACTACAAAATACCTGTGTGTTCAAATAGACTACTTGCATCATGACTAATGCTAACTTACAATATGCCCTTAACTATCTTGACACCACTTGTGAACCTTCACAGAACAGTTCTGAAAATAGAGCTCTCTGGAGAGATGACTAAACAGGATGTCAGTCTCTAATTGTCTCTACTCTGCCTTGACTTGCTTCAAGTCAAAACCATGTTATTTTTAAAAGTCACTCCCTCATCTTCAATATAAAGGCCTGGCACCGAACACACATACACTCGACCTCACAACATAAACTACTGTTGGCACTGGGGCAGCTGCTGCCAGCCTGCAGACAGACTGCTGGGATGCCTCTGGCTAACCTGTAAACACCCTACAAAACTGCCCCAAGGGCCTGCAAAGGTGGCCACTCCAGCCGGAAGGGTCAGGAGCTACTCTGACAGCCAGTAGGAGATTCCACAACTCAGAATGAGGAGCTCTCCCACAGAGAAGAGGTCTGCTTCCTCACCATTTGGATGGCCAAGCCAGATTCAAATACTGTCGTCAAACCTTGTCCATCTGGGACAGATGTGATAAGATATAGGACCTTAGAATGCAGGTGACTCATCAGAGGGGCATTTAAAAAAAAAAAAACAGTCGGCTGTACACAACAGAGATTTTTAAGATGAAAAAGAATGAAAGATAAAAATATACCTCAGACATAAGGAAAAGAACACCATTCCCTGAAACTCTTACTCGCAGTTTGCTATACATGTATAAGAATGTACTGAGTTTTAATGTAAAAATGTGTTTCTTCCTTGCTCTGTCACAGAGAAAGATGTGGCTTTAGAGCCTATGTGCTCCATCTATACAGTGCTGATGTGCTGTTGTCATTTATTCATGGTGGTTGCTTGGATGCCCCAGTGACAGCCAACTGACAGCTGGCCTATTTCATTCCTCTATTCCATCAAAAGTTCTTTGTCTATGAGCAGAAACGCTAAGAAACTCACTGACCCTAGTGCTGTCCTCTACAGTTCTAATGAACACTCTCTAGCTAGCACAGCCATTCCAGCTTCTGCAAAGAGCACTTAAACTTTATTTGAGAACTATCCCTTCCTCGCATGTAGTCCAAATGGTTTAGTAGGAATTTTGCCTAAGCTCCAGAGTAGATATGCAACCTAGGCCCTGTCAATCAGGGCACTGAGTCCCTTCAGCTAGGATGACTGGCCTGGAGCTAGCACTTTCCCTTTATCTAGTTACTGGAATTCTATTTCCCTCCCTTCAGTAATGCCTGGTTCAGGTTTGGGCACAAAATCCAAGTAGATCCAATTAGGAATCCTGGATCTACAAAGAAGACACAAGATCTCAGTTCTGCTAAACTTCAGTCTGGAAGGTCATAAACTTGGGAGTGCATGGCACCCTTATTGTCACCACATTTACTTAGAGAATGAAGTCAAAAGGAAGGAGAGAGTTGGGAGACAGAGGGGACCAGGTCTTGATGATGTCACTCAATCCACAGGTCAGGCCATGCTGGATTCTTCTGGACTCTCAGTTATCTGAGCCCATACATTCCTCTTTCTTTGTTTTGGCTAGTTTGAGTAGGGTTTTCTATTGCTTGCACCCACAATAGGTCATATTGTCAGAAAAAGAGAATAAATAAAACATTTATCAATAATTACACATCCTCCCTGCATGCCACCCTCTGCAGTCTGCCTCTCTGCCTCCCTCCAGCACTGAAGCAACTCTGGTGTCCAGATCACAGCCTATTGTAGAATCCAAAGCTGGGTCCATCTTCATCACAGCTGATCCCTCCACAGTATCTGATCCTCTTGGTAGTTCCCTTCTTCATGACTCTCCCAGGTTCCTTGCTTCCAAGACACCACTCTTTCCTGGTCCTCCTCTTGCTCTTCTCTTTCTCTCAGGCTCTTCCAAGGACCTCTCTCTGCCTTTAAATCTTGCTGCTCTTCAAGCCTCTTTTTCTTTCCATTGGAAGATTTGAACCCATGATTGCAACATCTACCTGAGATTTTTTTTTTTTATCTTTGGGGTAGAAGTGGGGCAAAGAAACATAGTAGAAGCTCCAAGAGCATGCAGCCTAAAGACAAGGGGCTGTGACAGAGTTATTTTGTAAGTCTCAACTTAGACCTCTCCTCCACACCTATATTTATGCTTTCTCTGAAAAACTCCATTTCAACATGCCTTCTTCCATTGCCAACCCCACCACTTAACCAAAAGCCCACACTGGAAGCTTGGGCTCCTCAACATCAAGTCTACTTTCAAAATCCTTCCTAAATCCACCCTTCCCTCTCCATTCCTATTGCCATGCTCATCTAGATTACTGCTGCCACTGTGATGTTTCAAAAATTAAAACCTGACCATGTGGATTCCCTCATTTAGAATCCATCACTGTTTCTATTTATTTCCACTATATAGTATAAACTCTTTAGCATACAACATAGTCCTAGATACCATGCCCCTTCCGACCTTCCCGCCTCAGTTCCCCACAACAGCCCAAGCACATACAACCAGTATCCTAGGTATGCACGCATTCTCTGTCTTTCTCTATTTTGTGGTATAGGAGCTTAAACCCAAGGCCTTGCACACGCTTGGAGAGTACTCTACCACTAAGCTACATGCATCCTCACCTCTTTTAATTCTTACACATGCTTTTTAACAAATGGATATCCACATGCAGAAAATCAAATTGTACTCCTACTCAGAAGATGTTTAAATATTAACTCAAAATCAATCAAGACTCAGATGTAATAGCTAAAACACACTTAGAAGAAAATAGGAGTAAACTTTTCTGACCTTGGACTAGACAATGACATTTTAGACAACACCCAAAAAATGATAAATTAAACTATATCAAAATTAAAACATTTGGGCTGGGGTTGTAGCTCAGTGGTAGAGCACTTGCCTAGCATGTGTGAGGCACTGGGATTGATCCTCAGCACCATATAAAAATAAATAAAATAAAATAAAGGTATTGTGTCCATCTACAACTAAAAAATAATTTTAAAAATTGAAAACATTTGTGCTACAAATGAAATTATCAACAAAGTAAAAAAACAATCCATAGGATTGGAGAAAACATTTGTAAATCACACATCTGATAAGGACTTGTTTCAGAATATGTAAAGAATTCTTACAACTCAATATATAAAGACAGCTCCATTTTAAAAATAGGCAAAAGATTTGAATAGACCCTTTTTCAACAAGATACACATCTGACCACTAAGCACATGAAAAATGCTCAGCATCTTTAGCATAAGAGAATGCTAATGAGATCATACTTCACACCCAGGAGGATGACTATAATAAAAAAGACAGACAGCACTGTGTGTTAGCAAGGATGTGGACATTTGAACCCTGTACATTGTTGTTGGGAATATAAATGATCAGCCACCTTGAACAATAGTTTGGCACCATATCAAAATATTAAGCACAGAGTTAGCATGCATCACCCAGCAATTCCACTCCAAATTTACCCAAAGAACTGAAAATATATGTTCATACAAAAACTTATACAAAAATGTTCACTGCAGCATTATTCATAATAGTCAAAAAATG